GAATGGAGGTGAAGGTCCCTCCCAGCAGAGGGCCTGGCATGGACCCTGAGGCCGATGAGGAAACACATGGCACGTGCCAGTGTGGTTCAGTGGTTGCACGTCGACCTATGAACCAGGAGGTCATGGTTCAATTCCAGGTCAGATCACATACCCGGGTTGCAGGTGTACAGGAGGCAGCTGATCAATGGTTGTCTCTCATCATTAATGTTTCTCTCTCTCTCTCCCTTTCTCTGTGAAATCAATAAAAATACATTTTTTTTTTTAAAAAAAAGGGTATGGTTGGAAAGAAAAGTGAAGACAAATATGAGAACAGACAATTTTTTCAAAACGTGCCAAAAATGGGAAAAGAGATGTGGGACATGAGCTGGAAAGGAATGTGGGGTCAGTGAGGTTTCTCTGGATCTTATTTTCTGGTTTCTAAATTGGGAGAATAATTAGTCCATAGGCTAATGAGAAGAAGGTCATAAGAAAGGAAAAGGTAATGGAGATTCTGTAGAGGAGGAATTGCTATCTCATAGGCACCCCCAACACAGAGCAGAGGTCCTCAAGATTTATCTAAAGTCACCAAGTTACATCCCTATCCCATGGTCTTATACCTTGTGTGAAAATAAAAGAGTGCTTTCTTAGGATTGCAAACAGAACAAAATTAAGTGCACTCTGTGATGACAATTATTAGAAAGGGCCATTGTGCAGTGGACAGAACCTGCCTACTGAAACCTAACTGGGACTTAAGTATCAGTGAGTAATGATGCCACAGTTCCAGCCTCTCTAAAGGGCTTCCCCATATACAGTGTCAAGATTGAGTATGCACAGGGCTTTGGTTACCTTGGAGCAGCATGGCTGAGCGTTTAACAGCACAAGGCCCACAGTCAGACAGCATGGGTGTAAACCCAAGGTCTCCTGCAAATGGCCTCGGGCAAGGTATTTAACTTCTTTGTGCCTCAGTTTCCTTAACTGTATAATGAGATCAATAATAATGCCTATTTCATAGGACTGTTATGAGGATTAAATAATGTTCGTGAGTAGATCAGTGCTTACCACATATTACAGCTTTCGAATGTTAGCTCCCACTTGAAGTCTTGGATCCACTCATCTCTTTTGTTTTTGGCATTCACTGGTGGTTTGAATAATCTTACCACCTTCTTTATATCCTGCCTTCTCTCTAATCTCAGGTGCAAATGTTCCCTGGGTCTGTTAATCTCATCCTATACTTGAACTTCCTTCTTCTTCCTGTATACAGAACATTCTCCAGTTTCATTAGCCAAATCACCTCCCTTCTTAAACAAAAGTATCCCTGAAACCTCACCTTCTCCACTAAAGCACTCTGCTGTCTAAACACACAACTTCTAAGGTTTAACTCCCAGCAGCAATATTTACTTATTTGTTCATGCCTTTATTAATCTTCTTCCTTTTCTCTTATAAATCATTCTTCCAGAACATAATTGAGGACAAGGCTATGTCAAACTATCTATCTATCTATCTATCTATCTATCTATCTATCTATCTATCTAAGCCAGGGGTCCTCAAACTTTTTAAACAGGGGGCCAGTTCACTGTCCCTCAGACCGTTGGAGGGCCGGACTATAGTTTTAAAAAAAACTATGAACAAATTCCTATGCACACTGCACATATCTTATTTTGAAGTAAAAAAAACAAAATGGGAACAAATACAATATTTGTATTTGCATGTGGCCCACGGGCCGTAATTTGAGAAACCCTGATCTAAGCCTAAGCGCCCAGCAGACCTGCTGACCAGCCGGTAGCTATAACACGCACTGACCACTAGGGGACAGACACTCAATGCAGAGGTGGAAACTATAGGCATGGAAACATGGAACATACTGATGAATCTCAGAGGGAAGTGGGGAGGGCAGGGTGGGAACAGATTAACTAAAGATCTTATATGCATACTAGAGGCCTGGTGCATGAATCCATGGGGTCCCTTGGCCTGGCCTGTGGGGATGGGGCTGAAATCAGCTTATTGACATCCCCCAAGGGATCCCGGATTGTGAGGGCGCAGGCCAGGCCGAGGGAGGTGCATGAATCCGTGCACCAGGCCTCTAGTATCTAGAACAGTGATGGCAAACCTATGACACGCGTGTCAGAGGGGACACGTGAACTCATTTTTTTGGTTGATTTTTCTTTGTTAAATGGCATTTAAATATATAAAATAAATATCAAAAATATAAATCTTTGTTTTACTATGGTTGCAAATATAAAATATTTTCTATATGTGACACAGCACCAGAGTTAAGTTAGGGTTTTTCAAAATGCTGACACACCGCGCTCAAAAGGTTCACCATCACTGGTCTAGAATAATAGGGGAATTGAAATGTGGTTTCCTGTTCCAGTTCTCCTTGATAAAACAGCCATATGACCGGAGGGGGTCACTTCATCCACCTGGACCTTAGTTCTCTACTCTGTAAAGTGAGTGGTGAGGGGCAAAAAATGTTGATGACAGCCACTAGCATGTGTTGAACAGTTACTTTGTGCGAGGGTCCATCTAGGCTGTTTAAGTGTATTCCGTCATTTAAGATTAATAGCTTTGTGGGGTGTGCGCTATTAGTCCCATGTTAAAAACAAGAGGACACTGGGGCACAGAAAGGTTAAGGAAGTTGTTCCAGGTTACACAGCTCGTCTGTGGTAAGACTGAGAATCAAACCCAGTGACCTATAAAGCTCTAAGACATGTTAACCTGCTCACTTCTATGCTCTGGAGAGGCTGGCGGACTGGATGAACAAAGCCTTGAGAATTTAGGCAACAGCATTAGAGAATATGACCATTCCTACATAGCATACCTTGGCTTAAATGAGAAGAAAAAACAGAAGAAAGGACAGAAACTCATTAAGGAGACATATCTTAGACTGAAGGAGGATAGAAAAACAACTGTAATTTAATAGAGATTTATCCCTGGAAATGAATCTACCAGTTTTCAGGGAGGGTAATACCATGGACAGTGAAACAAGACAGTCTATGACTGGTCATTGTTTAAAGGGAGAAAAGGAAGGTATATGGGCAGACACTGCAGTGTTCTTTTCTGCCTTTGTATATGTTTGAAAACCTTCCATAATCAAGTTTCCAAAAATTAAACTGACTTTAACAAGTCCGTGCACAAAGTGCCGCCCCCAGCACCTCCTAGAAGGGCCTGGCTCAGCTGTGCTGCATGCACTGCCCCAGCACCCACCTCCGGACAATTGGCTGGAGTGCACTGTTACAGTCTCCACGGAGCCTGCCTGCCCTCTTGGCAGCAGGGTGAGTGCCATGATGCAGCTGCTGCTGGCATGCTGAGAGCTGGAAAGGGAGAAATTATCAGGCAAAGCAAGAGCAAGTCACAAAGAGAATGTGAGTCAACATTCAAGGACCCCACACCCGTAACCCTGATCACCAAGTCTCTAGCTTGGCAGCCAGTGGGAGCAGAGGTGGGGGCTGAGTGCTGAGACAGGTGCCTGGCTCCCTTGCAGAAAGCAGCCCTCTCTCTTAGACACAAAGTCTTCCAATTTTTTTATTTGCATAACAAAATGGGTCTTTAAAAGGAAGAAAGAGTATGTTAACCACAAAAGAGCAAGAAGAAAAGAATCAATTAACCTTATGGTTAATAGCCAGATTTTTAAAAATTACCTCAAATATATTCATAAAACATGTTAATTATTTTTATGAGTAATCCTGCTCACAGAAATGCTGCTATGATAATGTTCCTGAGTATAATTTCCTTCATATAATCTAGCTCTAATACTTCTGTTTCAAATGAGCGTTTGCCCTTACATGGTTTAAATATGTGTATGCTATGTCAGAATGGCTTTTTTAATCGTAAGGAAAATAAATTTCCTTATCAATATTATTGCAACAAGCAAAATTTATAATTAACTGCTTTCATGTTTGTATAAAAATCAAATTTTGTTCATCAGTTAAGCTGTTATAAAATGGACTGGCCAAGTTTATCTGGTTACTCACATTCTGTTATCCATGTCTCAATTCGAAGAGCTTTACAGACACTATTCCTCCCATAATTTCAGAGGGGCTGTAAAGATTCATGAGGTTGAATCTGTGAAATCTTCTCTGAGTTTAGAAAAGGCACATTCTAAGAATAAAGGGCACATAAAACAGTTTAGTGAAGTCACATCCCTGAGGCAGCAGCAGGTCAGTGGCATCCCTGGGAGCCTCACTCTTAGGTGTATAAAGCAAGGAAATGCAGTCTTAAAAACAGACAATTTCTTTTTTCCTGGCACAAAAGCCCCAATAACTACCATGAAATCTGTGAAGGGCTGCCAACTTTGCAAACCCACTAACAATTTGGAAACCTCATCTACTTGGCCATATCTGACTAACATATGAACATTTTATTAATAGGAACATCACCTATAGTTGGCATCTTTTATAACATCCTGCTTTATTCTCCTGCATCCCATGCCTCAGATAAGTAGAGATGAAATAGTATCCTATAAAAGCAAATTTTTAAAGCATTAAAATGTAGAAACCAGCCTAACCAAAACAGTAATAGTACCTGATAAAAGAACACAAAAGCAGGTATGAAACACCCATCCACCATATTCAATTGACATGCAAAGATGGTAGCTATATCAAGCATAATTTTAGGAAATGCATTGTAGTAAGAAGAGCTATGCCTTTAAATTCTAATGTCTATAGATAAAAGACATGTTCCTTTGAACAGCAGCCTGAAGAGGCTACACTGTCACTTTATCTCCCCAGATAACTATCCGTTCTATTCTGGCTTCAGCTGGTATCTGCTTGCATTACATCAGCTTCTTGATGGGGGAGGGCTGGGTACAAATCTGAGGCAGAAGCATCAGGGGGCCAGAGGAAAAGGTGATAAAGCAATGGCACAAGTAAAGCAGTCCTCGGGCTTATTTTTCCTAAGGAGCCGGTCCCTAATAAATGTCTGGCTGGCTGAGAAAAGCCAGAGGACTTACACCTACGTAAGTCCTGAGCAATAGTCTCCTTTCGCTTGTGAGAAATTATGTTGCAATGGTAGAGACTTTCTGATTTTTCTGCAAATCCTCACTACCTAGAACTGTGGTTTGTATACATAACAAGTGCTCACTAGATAGTTATGGCAATGAATCTGTTCCCCTCGTTTCTCAGATACTCTAGGCACCCCAGACTTGATTTTTAAATTGAGGGGTTAGGCCAAAGAAATGAAGAAAAGCCCAGAACACTTTACCACCAGTAGAGATAAATTAGTGGGAGGAAGCTGAATTCACGGAAAATCTACGTGTTCCATGTAACCTGGGCTCCAAATACCAGGATGCTGTACATTTGATTAACAAACTAAGAGGCTAGGTTAGCAAGTAGAGGGTTTCCTTATTCCTTTAACTTTCTGATCTGGGACATCATTTCACTTTAAATTTTGGCTCATGGTTGTTTTTTGTTTTTTTCCAATGTTGGTTCCCTTTCCTCTTCTTTTCCCCTCAGTATTTCCACCTCCCTGTGCTGCCTGCTTCTCCAGTCTTTCTTTAAAAAGAAAAAAAAAATAGTTCTGACTTCCTCTTTTCAGAACTCCAGCTGAATGGATGCAAGTGAAGAAGGGGAAGTAGGGCTGGCACTTGCTTCTGTAATCTGTTCATCCTTCTTGGAAACGTGGCTGGACTGAAGCCAGAAAAGCTGCACCAGCCGACTGGAGTGGGGGAGCAGTGGAAAGGGGGAAGAGAGCATTTTAGGAAAGGAACCAGCAAGAAACAGTGTTCAACATGGGATCCTGTTTACGCTAGTTTTGAAAAAACAAAAGGCTATTCCAGTGATTTTCTTTAAAAAAATTTTTTTTTAAAAATTAGTTTATATTAGTTTTTGATCCCTCCCCTTAAGCTGACCAGAAATCTCATAATTTCCCAGCAGGCATCCCCCCTTCTTCACAGAGTATGTTTCACACCTTCTCTTCTCTATCCCTACATGACCACTTTCTCCTTGCTGTCAGCAGGTGGGCTTGCCTCCTACTTGACCATCAGGTGAGGATCTGCTCAACCTGCCCCACCCAAAAACATACCTGCATTTGCACCCATCTGTGCTTCCCTCGCCACACAGACCCTCCTCCCCTCATCTACCCCTCGCCGGTGCTCCACATCCACCCTGTCCCCACTCCTCAAGCACAGGGTGCATCAGTGAGAAGGTATCGCCTCACTGCTAATCTTTCATATAATCAGTGCCCCAGTTCCAGAAAACCCTCCATGTCTGCATCACCACTGCCATCGCACCCACTGACCCCCACACCCCCTCTGTGCTGCCGTTCACGCCAGGCTGAGCCCATGGTGCGCACTGTCCTTCACTCCTCACCCGCTGCCACCCGCCTTCGTCTCTGCCCCTCGACCGACACTGCTTTCTCCACCGTTACTAACACTTTCTTAGTTTTGCCTCTTTCTGAGGTGATGGTATCCTTGTTTCTGTTCCTTTATTCTTTAGTCTCAACACACCTACCAGGATGAGCTTATCCACATCCATGGTGCCAACTGCCTATCCTGCTCTCCCCAAAGGTAAATGAGTATGTAGATAAATGTGTGTGTGCACGCACACCCCCCAATCTCAAACCCAGATTTCTATCTCGAACTCCTAGCCCATATATTCAACTCCTATTATACATTTTCTTTTTGGATATTCCATAGGAATCTTAAACTCAACATGTTCTAAACCTGGTTCTCATCTCCTTCCTAACACTAGCCCCCCCTTACTGAATGGTCTTCTAGTAGTTCCTGTGTTGGTGGAGGGAACCAACAGGGTTGCCCAACACACAAACCTGAATTATTGTTGACTTCTCTCCCTGGCATGTCTCTTCCTCCATCCAATAAATGACTGAGTCCTGCTGATTTTGATGTTCTTAATATCTCCCCAAGTTTCATCTGTCTCTTTGCAGGTCCAGTTATTCTCTCATTTCAGGCCCTGTAGTCTCCTGCCTTGAATGGTGCATGAGTTGTCTGCATATGGCCTTGTTCCCCCTACACTACTTTCTCCCTGTCACTCGTGGTATTAAACACATGCTTTTCCTTGCTTAAAACTCCTAGGTGCCTTTGGAGAAAAGAACACACTCCTTGTCATAGTACAAAAGGTATGCTCTAGCCTTGCTACCCCTCCAATTTCTTTTATCACCATTCCCTAACCTCTTTACTCTATCCACACCAAGCTATTTGCTACTATCCAAATATGCCAGGCTCACTCAATTACTTTTGCCTAAACTAGGACATCTCTCTTCTTTCTCTCTTCTTCTCGCACACTTAAACTTGTGCTTTATGATGTACATCAAGACTCTTCTAGAAAGATTTCCTGAAGTAACTCCTCAAACCTGGGCTGCCTGCCTGTCCATGTGTTCCCATAACAGCCTGTGCACAGCTCTTACAGCAGGTATCATCCTGGAATAGTTCTTTGCACCCTCCTGAAACTATGGGCAGCACAAAGCCTGAGACGAGCTTTCTTCTCCATTTCCCTCCCAATCAGAGCAATGCCTGGTTCATAGCAGGTGGTCAATACAGGGTCATCCAATTACTAAATTAAATTTCTTCCTAAACTTTATATTCGAATTTATTCAAAATAAGCTAGGCGTCATTATGTTGACCCTGGATTTCTGCATCTGTTTGGTTCTTTTCCTAACAAGATTTTACCAACAGGGTGATCCGTGGATGGTATTAAATATAGACAGAACTAAAAACTAGTTTGAGACCCCAGCTACATCTATTTCCTAAAGAATGAGATGGGTTGTTCTTGCCTTGCCAAATGAACAACATCACAAATATGTCTCCCAAAGGAAATTTAATAGGTCCTGCAGCAATGTTGACGAAACTGTTGGGGAAATATATTTACCAGAGGTTCACCTTATGTACTCCACATTCCCCTTAATCAACTGTCTTAGTCTGTTCAGGCTACTACTTAAAAAAAATAAATAACACAACCATAGACTGGATGGCTTATATACAACAAAACTTTTCTCAGTTCTGGAGCCTGAGAAGCTCAAGAAGTGGTTGCAGCAGACTCAGCGTCTGGCGAGGGCCTGCTCCTGCTGCAGAGATGACTCTCTTTGCTTCAACGTCACAGGGCAGAAGGGGCCAGGAAGCTCTCTGGGGCCTTTTATAAAGACACAAATCCCATCTAGGAGGACTACACCCTCATGACCTAATCACCTCCAAAAGGCCCCCACCTCCAAGTACCCTCACACTGGGGATTAATTTCCACCTAAGGATGTGGGTGTGGCGCCTCATTCAGTCTGTAACATCAGCCCGCCTTACACACTCTTCTCTCCCAGGATCCAGTATTTCTCCACAACTGTGCAGTCCAGTCTGAAGGAGTTGCAGTGTAGCCTATGTTTGGGGGCAGGAGTATGGGGAAAGGGCCAGCAACAGGGTGGCAGGACTAGGGGAGAAAAGCCTCAGAGATGAGAGCTATAAAGAGGGTAGGAGACGGGATGGTTTAATTTCTGTTTAGCCTCTTTCTTCTCTGATTTCCATGGAGGGGTTTTTCTCTAAGCTTGCTGGCCTTCTGGCCTCGCCCCTGGTCCTCCCCAAGGAGGCAGACTGAGTTACATGGTTGGTGGATGACAGCGCTGGGCCCCCCTTTCTAGAAGGGGGAGCTAAACCACCCACGGACCTGAGGTCTGGAGAAAGTCTCTTTCTACCTGGATCAGGGGAGAGAAGTAAACACAGTGTGTGCTGTGTTGAGGTAAACCTTCCTCACAGGTCTAGACATGGGTTAAGGAGGCTGTGGAAGTCCATTTCAGCTACTGTACTAACCTGCCTCCTCCAACCTGCGCTTATCAGTCAGAAGGAGCCATTTTAGTTCTTGGTCTGCTGGCCCTTTGGTCTTATTTCTCCACTAGTGGCCCGGTGCATGGATTGGTGCACATTGAAAGACAATTAAGTAGAAGAAAGATTCGTGTAGTAATTACGTTACTGCAAAAAATTATGTCAAAATAGTATATATAATATAGTATAAAATTAAAACATACATGCAATTGGCACAAGAGCTTTATATGTATCATGCATACACCAGTCAATGTTTATTTTTAAATTGCCAGTGCATGTCATATGTACCACCCAGTAGGTCGGTCACTTAGCCTTTTATATATATACTAGAGGCCCGATGCACAAAGATTCGTGCAAGAATAGGCCTTCCTTCCCCTGGCTTCTGTCCTGCCCCGCCGTTGGCCACTTGGTGCCTGTATGCAAATTAACCCGCCATATTTGTTGGGTTAATTTGCATGCTCACTCCTGATCGGCTGGTGGGCGTCGCAAAGGTACAGTCAATTTGCATCTTTCTCTTTTATTAGTGTAGATAGATTGGATAAGGATGCAGGTGAGAAAAAGGGATGCCCTTTAATAGGACACCAAAACCCCACCAGTTTCCAGTTCCCAAAGCAACTCCATTCATATCAAAACAGACATATTAACCACACCAAAATAAAAATAAAACAAGTCACGTAGATGTTAAATAATCTGGAAATATAAAAATATATCAAACTATTGGTATGATTTTATCTATTTTATAATTCAGTTAAATCTGTGGGATCAGCACAGTTTTAATCAGAATCTTGGAAAAATAACAACCAACATTTGTTTTTGAAGCAATTTCACACTTTATTTCATTTGAGCCTCACAACCCACTAAATTTGATAGGGAGGCTATTGTTTCTATTCTCATCTTCTGAGGCTCAAAGTTCAGTGACTGTGTAAGGTCACACCACTACTAATTGGCGGAGACTTGTACTCTGGGTCTCCTCAATTATAATCCAGTGCTGTCCCTCTGGTGTACAGGCCATCATCAAGGTAAATAGTTTTAAAGCTTATGTGTTTGGTTGTTTTTTAAGGGCTTAAGTTTTAACAATTTCTCTATGGACAAGTGTTATCTGGGCTGGAAGATGAAGGTCCAAAAATTTACAGACTGTGCTACCACAGAAACTGAGTTTAAAGTAACAGTCCAAGTAAGCATCTCATTACTAGGTTAAATCTACCAGGCTAGATACAATATACAATAGCTTAGAAAACTGTAGCATCTGAACACAGCCAAGGTTACACAATGGCTTAGGCTTTTGTGCATGAATTCTTCAAGCTTATTATGCACAACACAGTTCTGACGAATTTTAGTCACACTAGAGTCTACTTCCCATTTAGATAGCTTTATTTATTTAAAATATCTATTAAACTTCTTCAAAATTCAGTGCAAGAAGATCATACATTTCCCAGATAATTTCAAAAGAAAGCAATGAAAAATGATCTTGCACATCTCCTCAGCATGCTGAATATTAATTTCACTCAAATGATTAATTTTCATTTGCAAAACAATAAAGTACATCAACCAACTGCATATACAATAAGAAAGGAAATGAAATGCTTTCTATTTTTAAAGCCGGTAAGAAAATATAAATATATTATACTCGTGTTTTATATAATTTGATAAATAGATACCACTTTTATGATACTGAATGAACGGATATAAATATCATAGGCTACTTGTAGGAAATACTAAAAGTAAATAAAAAATATTAAGTGATACCTACATGCTGTTTGTTTTTTGTGTGTTTTTTTGTATGTGCTTTGATAAAATGAACATTTAACAAATTCATAACCTAAATATAACATATATATTTAATAACAAACATTTTGATATTACAAAAAACAAAAACAATTATTTCATGTTAAGGTTGTTGTTTTAAGACAGAAAGCTAATCTGTTTTGCTACTCTTAATTTATACTGAAGAGTTTATAATTTGTCAAAGTTTCTACCATTATTCAAAAAACATAAATATATAATTTTTAGTATGTACTTAGAATTGTTGTGTTCATAGCCAGAAATAAAAGACCATTACCAGTAGGATCTCACATTCACCCTGCATATAAATATCCTTCTAATCTGAGGAAACAAGGAATTCTTTAACAAAGGCCTTATTTTCTTTGTAATTTGAATTTAGTGTGTGGAATAGTCCAAACACTTGGAAATACTACAGTTGATGAATGCACAACTGTACATTTTCATATACAAATGGAAGTGAAAGGAAATGCATCATCCCTAATTATGAAGGCAGGCTAATTAAATTCCACTCAGAGGGCACGTGAGTAATAGTATTACCCACACTTGCAGCACCTAACCCAGAGCTCCACTAGAAAAACAGTGTTTGGAAAACTGAAGAGGTGAGCAGAAAGCTCTGTCACTTGACCTTGGCTCTCATTTGCAAAAAGGTAGTATTCCAAAATAGAAGATGGGGTTGGAAAAGTAAATACAGCTGTGTTTTCTCCACCCAGTGAGAATGAAGGGGCTACTCGGAACGCAGGAGGCTGAGTCCCTTGGTGCACACACAGAGTCCTAGTATTTCATTTATGGCTAACTCAGGAAATTTGTTTTATTGTGGTAAAATATACACAACACAACATGTAGCAGCTTAATCATTTTTAGTGTATAATTGAGTGGCACTGAATACATATACAGTGTGGTGTTAATTATCACCACTATCTATCTCTAGAACTTTTTCATCATCCCAAACAGAAACTCTGTACCATTTGAACAACTCACCATCTATCACACTATCTTTTTACCTCTGCTCATTACACTTTTTATCAATTTGCCTGTTTTAGGTACCTCATATAAATGGAATCACACAATGTCTGTCCTTTAGTGTCTGACTTATTTCACTTAGTATAATGTTTTCAGGGATCATATATGTTATAATCCATATCAGAATTTCATTCCATTTTAAGGCTGAATAATATTCGTTATATGTATATAATATATTTTGTTTATCCACTCATTTACTGATAGACATTTGGGTTGTTTCTCCCTTTTGGCTATTGTAGGATAATATTTTTAAACTACAGTAAAATGAGCTAAGTGAAAAACCTGAAAATAACTCTAAAAGGATTGTTAGGGTTCAATGAATATAGGAATATCGAATATTTAAGTATATGGAGGAAAGTTAGCAATAGCCTAAAGTGAGGGAAATAAACTATGGTTATTTGAATTATAAATTTGTTTATACATTTTGGCTTTAAAAATAATTAAAGTAGGCCTTGCTAACTTAATATTTTATGAGTTAAAATCCAAGTATAATTGATGGTATTTCAATCCTGCTTAAAACAGTTCCATAACCTCTAAGAGCGTCTACCCACACTGGAACTCTGTGTAATTCTTTCGTGTTCATATAAGGCAGTGGTTCTCAACCTTGGCTGCACATTAGAATCACCTGGGAATCTTTTTAAAATCCTGATTTCTGGGCCTCATCCCCTGGAAATTCTGTTTCTTTGTTATGGGGTGGGACCACAGCATTGGTAACAAAGAAACAGAATTTCTGGAGGATGAGACCCAGAAATCAGGATTTTAAAAAGATTCCCAGGTGATTCTAATGTGCAGCCAAGGTTGAGAACCACTAATATAATGGTACAAGATGTCATTACCTGCTCTTGTGCAAAGCCTACTCAACAAAATGAAGAGTGAATAATGCTAAGAAGTGTTTAAAATGAAAGCCACAATCATGTCCAAAAAATCAGGAGGAACATTTAACTTAATAAAATTTAAAAATTGAAATGCCTCAAGAGGGTGACAAACTTTATGTAAGGACTTTGAAATTTCTCAAAAATAAAAAAAGACAGTATGATTGAAAAAAATGCTCTTAGATCAACAATAGAAAAGTTGACTAATGTATAATCAATTTTTAAGTCATCCTTTTTTAGGAGAAAGGTAATAATCAGAATATATACTATAGCACGTCAATTGAAAAGTAATCTGTAAGGCTTGCTAGAAAGAGCTTCAGATCCAAATCCTAATGTCTCCTGCCTCTATCTCAGCCTTGTGGCCTTAAGTAGTCATTTAACCTTCTGTATTTCATTATCTCCTCTGAAGTATGAGATCACTGGGCCACATGATTCAGCTCTGAAGTGCCATGATTCCAAGTAGACTGAGACCCCCAAATCGCCTGCACAAGTAAACATTCTTATGGAAATGGCACCGAAATCAATATAAATGATAACTCAAAAAGAAAGTATCAACTGATGGGTATATATCTTGAGAAGAAACTCTGAAGGATAGTCCCGAGGTTATGAAAAGGATTTCGATCATTGAGGAATACCTAACTTCACACTGCTCTTGATTATGATAAAATACCACATGATCTCACTCATTCATGGATAATTGAGACCATTATAAACTTTTGACCAATAATAGATACAGAGGCAGAGCTGCCTCAAACAGAGTGTCAAACTGCAGCGGGAAGGCCGGGGAGGGTTCGGGGGCGGGAGATAGGGGGGTAAGAGATCAACCAAAGGACTTGTATGCATGCATATAAGCATAACCAAATAAAAAGAAAAAAAAAAAAAAAAAAAAAAAGAAACATGCAGGCAGGTGCCAATTTTCTAACAAGTTATGGCCTAAAAATCACTGTTATAATTAAGATCCCAGAATGTATTTTCTCAGTCCAAAGAGTCCACAATAGAGATGAAGTCCTGTACATCTGCATATATAGTTGTAGGAAAATTATTTTAATTAGTGTTATAATCAAAATAATAATAAATTAGATTAAACAATAAAAATTATCTGGACTGTGAGTACTTGAAAAAGCAAATTTAGTTGTAGGAGCTAAACTTGGGTAGTGAATACCAAAGGTCCTGCCTACTGAAGATTGCTGGCCGAGGTCTGTAGTGGCTCACTAGGATTTTCATTAGAAATCTCTAAGAAATTGGGAGAGTTGTGTTCTTCAAGATTTTTTGTTTAGTATCACAAACAGTAAGGTGGCAAAATGGAATTTTCCTGAGGTGTTTATCTGTATGAAAGATATACTGGAGGTGGGCATGACTGGCTATCAGTGAAAGTGTGAGCATAACCCATCTCCTAACTGACAGGGTAGGGACGTGCTAGGATAGAGCCCCAGGTAGTTCCTTTTTTGGCTCCCAGGCAACTTCTCCATGAGTCACCTGTGTTTTCATGATGGCCATACCAGGGAACAGAGAGGCTCACAAAAGGTGGGAGGAAAAGTAGCCTCGTCAAAGTCTGTAGGACCCAGCCATCTATCTGCATGGTGGTTCTTGGTAACCTGAATGCTAGTTTTCAAAGGTCTGGTATTTCAACACAGTTTCTAGGTAGTGGATTTTCAGAACCTAGTCCAGTACAGATTTTCCTTTAGTCTTCTGGAAATAACTGCAATGGCTTCCACTGCCAAAGTGACCTCAAAATGAGCACCTGTAATTTCTAAAAGTGTTCTTAATGCGTAGAATCCACACTCAGAGTTCCACAGAGCTTGTTTTCTCTTGCATGCCTTTTTTGCAGGTGAGCCGATATGAGAAATTTTCTGAAGAAACTAAATCATTTATAGGCCACTCATGAGGGTGGAGATAAGGATTTAGATTATGAGCCCTGCTATACACTAAGTAGACTGTATGAGTTATTACTGATTCTAATTTCATGAACTTCATTTTTCATCAGTCTTACGGCTGTAATAGTGCACCTATTTCTACTACCACACCTGCAGTTCACATTTAATGATCACTTGCTTGCCAGCCACTGTTCTAAGCTCTTTACCTACCTATGTTATCTCATTTAAGTTTTCCTTTCTGATGCAGGCACTATTTTCCTCTCCATTTAACAGATGGGAAATACCGAAACACAGAGAGCTGTGTCTAACTCTGGAACTAGACTCCTAGTCACTATTCTGTGCTGCCTCCCAAATCCAGCACAGGCTAAGGAACTTCCCTTCATACCTTTTAAATGCAATGCAGTTGTTTCCAAAGACCAAAATGTATCTTCTTCAGAAAAGGTTGTAGAATACTTTCCTAACGATCATGCTTTCTCTCTCAAAACAAAGCACATAAAAACACATAGAATGTGGAAAATACCAATTTGGGGGTAGGGGGGGAGAGTAGAAATAACATTGAGTGTTGTATAGCCATTTTTATATTCAGCTGGCTATGCTAATTCTACGTGGATCTCAGAAACCCCGAAATTACAGTCTGTTCAGGCTATTTTAATCCCTAACAGCACCGCCGTGATCCTGAATATTTTTAAAATAACCTTTTTTACCTTAACCAAATATATTTTAGTTAAATTTTAGAACTTAAAGTAAGCACATACTGTCCTTTGTTCAATGAAGGCGACTGTTGGAGACAAGCCCTCTGTGGTCACTTGTCCAGGGACAGGGCCTGACTGCATGAAACTGTCCACATCCTCTAGTGCATGGCACTTGGTAAGCAATGGCGAGAAAGTGCCACTTGGCTGGGACCTGGTCTGCAATCTGTTCTCAGGAAACAGAAAAGGTAGCTTTAACAGGCTCAAACACATGATGTGGGCCCATTTAACATGATTATTTTTGAACCAACTATGCTAAGAGATTATATCACAGGCAAGAAAAATGAATGAGAACATTTCCGGGACTCAATATAGTTGCAAACTTCTGGGTGGACCCTTAAATGTGAAAAAAAAAAAAGGGAAGTACATCATCACTATTTATACCCAAAGTAGCACAAATCAAAGTTGTGCTTTCATGCTCAAAGTGCACAGTTGTTTGAAAAAGGCCCAGGACTGTATTTTACTTCCTATTTATTTAATTGCTTTGAACTAATAACTAAACAAAAATTGATTAAAGTGATGTAGTTAAAAATAGAATTTTCATAAATGCTTGAAAATATAAAAATATCGGGATCACCAACTAGAAAAAGTAAAGAAAATTACAAGTTTAAAAACAACTTTAAAATTCTGAGTACATAACCACTGAGAGGAAAACACAAAAATATTTTCACTTGCACAAAATTTTACCCAATTGATGCTATTCCTTCACTTTTGTTTTTTACAACCCAAAAAGTTAATTTGTTTTTGAAAAGACAATCTATGTAAAGTATATGCTTTTTCATAGCATGAGGTTTGTATTGTTCCTTAGTATGGTTTACATAAGTTTAGGGGGAAAAATCAATTTTTGTAAGCACATAAAACTAAAAACTATCACATCAATAAAATAAAAAATGAACCACATGATCATTTCAATAAGCTCTGGAGAAAAAATCCAATACCCTTTTGTGATAATAAAAAAAAATACTCAACAAATTAGGAATTGAAGTGAACTTCCTCAGCCTGATAAAAGACATCTACAGAAAACCCAACCTAAAATCATGCTTAATAGTGGAAGACGAGATACCTTCCATCGAAAACTAGGAACAAGGTAAGGGTGCCCACTCTTACCACTTCTATTCAGGCTCTAGCCAGAGCAATTAGGCAATCAATCTATCTATATAAATAAAAAGATAAACAGATAAATAGATAGCATCCAGATTGGAAAGGAAAGTGAAACTATCTCTATGCACAGATGACATGGTTTTGTATACAGAAAATTCTAAGAAATCCACTAAAGTACTATTAGAACTAATAAGTTCAGCAAGGTTGCAGGATACAAGATCAATATACAAAAGCCACTTGTATTTCTATACACTTGCAATAAACAACCCAAAAATTAAAGAAAAAACAATTCCATTTATAATAGCATCAAAAATAAAATATTTAGGAATAAATTTAACACAAAAAGTATAAAACTTATGCTTTGAAAACTACAAAACATTATTGAAAATAAAGAAAATCTAAGTAAATGGGAAAACTCCCCTGTTCACAAATCAGAAGACAACAGTATGAAGATGGCAGTACTGTTATCTATAAAATCAATGCCATACATATCAGAACCCCCAACTATGTGATCTTGGAAAAGTTACCTTATGTTTCTACACCTAGGTTACTTAATCCTCATCTGCTCCATTTCCTCATCTGTAATATGGGAATAAGTGGACCTACTTAGTAAGATGCTGTGATAAATGGATGAGAACACTGGTCAAGCTCCTTACTGCAGTTTCCAGAAGGCAGTGAGTACTCAGTAAAAGTTAGCCATTGTTTCCTTGCTGACTACAATGGAATTTGAAAATGTCAATTAAGTCTACCGATGTTCGGTATTATCCTAAATTTCTGCATGAGGAACATACTTTATTCTAAGAAATCCAAGTAATATAAAATCTAATCATAACTCAAATAACAGGCAGACTAATATCATTGTAAGAATTCAGCATACAGAGTTTTTCAAAGAACAAGAGAAGTTATTTTATTTCCTTAAAAATGGAAAAAGTAGTTTAAATAAAGCTGGCAGTAAAATATGGCAGAATTGCCAGACTTTTAGTATATAGCTTTTTAAAAAACCTTCCCTCCCAGAAATACTGATAATTGACCTAATAATCCTAAAGTAGACTTGACTCTCTAGTTGTCTTTTCCATTAAGTTGGATGAGTAAATAATAAAAGAGCCAATTACAATTTTTATAATGATTTCCTGGTTCCAAACCCAAGTGGTATGGATAAAGGCAGCATTCCAGTCAGGATTCCACACATTTCTACCTCTCCCTTCAGCAATGCTCAGAGAAATAACTTCTTTCGATCAGCACTTCAGTAACAGTGAGCTTTAGTCAACATATTTTGAGACCACCAGAAGTGTCATTTGATTCTATGTTCCTTGGTGGAAGTACTACATTTGTTACTGAGCATAATTTTAACCAAACTGTGAACATTTTAGACACCAAACCAACTGTTGATGTAGGAATAGGAGACTTCCTGCAGTGAAACCACGCATATGTGTAAGTTCAGCTCAATTACCTAATTCACTGGAATGCATTGAAAATGACTAAACTGCAATCTCCTTTTGAGAACATTAATTATATATAATTTTATTTTGAGATGGCAAACTGAAACAAACATTGAACCTGAGGTGTATTTTGATACATCTAGTAACATAACAGATTCTATTAAATTCACTTAAAGTTTCGGTGGGAAAATAAATGGCTCAGAGACTAGTCAAGTTGAAAGAGGCTTTAAATATTTAGTCAATGATATTAATCAATGTTAAAAATTATCATTTAAAGAGTGATTTTCCAGATACTATACCATTGGCTCAAAAAAGTTTCCATTGCTATCTGAAACTTTCTTCATTTCGTAACTAGTTTAAAAATTCCTCATTGGCTTGATTCATATTGGCTCAAATAAATAAAAAGATGATTCTCAACTGAAAACATTTAAAGAATTTTGTAACTACATGTAAAGAAACCAAGTGGCTTTAAGACATTTGGCCAAATGAGTATAAGTAATGACCTTCATTTCTGCATTCTAATTATAAAACTGGCTAAGGGAGTGTAATACAGAGGGGAAAAAATGAATGAAGATTCACAAGGTCAACTACATTCATCTATTCAAAAAGTCTTTGCCTAGAGTGTGTCTGCCATGGTGGGGAATGACCAGTCATTGTGCTGCTTTGGTGAGGATTATGGTACAGAGCAGAGATTGGGCAAAACACCATCTCCTGTGGGAAGTGTTACAGGGAAGGAACAGCAGGCAGTGAGGGGAAAAAATGGGATGGGTGGTGAGCATGAAGGGGAAAAAGATAAAGAATTTTGACTGCACATATGATCAAGTATATTTTTAAGTGAAAAACCTTTAAAGTAAATGTATATGACAATTATAATATTTAAATGTTAAAATATTTGAAATCTGGGAAGAATTATTGAAAATTGTTTCAATAATCTAACTCTGAAAACACACCAAGTTTTCACAGTTCTAACAGTATCTGGTATAGTTACCAAAGCATAACCAAAGATTAATTATCGAAATTTCACCATGATTTTGAAAAGCCAATTAAAAAAGAAAACTACTCTTTGGGTGAGTTTTTTTTTTTTTTTTTTTTTTTTTTGGACAAATAATAGTGACCAGAGAGACAGGAGGGAAATTGGCATGTTTAGTGTCTTTTTTTTTTCTGGCCAGGCACCGATTCTGAACACTTTATTTTTTTTAATTGAATTGAATTTATTGGGGTGACATTGGTTTGCAAACCATACAGGTTTCAAGTGTACACCTCAATAAAACATCCTCTGCTTACTGCATCATATGCCCATCACCCAAAGGATAGTCTTTTTCCATTCAGATTTCCCCTTTGCCCACCTCCACCTAACCCACCTCCCTTTCCCTCTGGTTATCACCATATTGTCTGTGTCTATGCCTTACGCGTATGTGTGGGTTAGGTTTTTAGGGTTTTTTTTGCTAATCCCTTCACCTTCGTTCATCCAGTCCCCCCAACCCTTTCCTCTCTGACAACTGTCAGTCTGGTCCATGTGTCCATGTCTCTGTTTCTATTTTATTCCTCAGTTTATTTTGTTCAGTAGACTCCACATATAAGTGAAATCATATGGTATTTGTCTTTCTCTGACTTGCTTATTTCACTTACCATAATAATCTCCAGGTCCATCCATGCTGTGGCAAAGGTTAAGATTTCCTTCTTTTGTATGGTCATGTAGTAATCCATTGTGTAAATGTATCCCAGCTTTTTTTATCCACTTATCTACTGATGAAGCACTTGAGCTATTGTAAATAGCATGGCTATGAACATAGGAATGCATATATTCTTTTGAATTAGGGTTTCTGGATTCTTAGGATATATTCCCAGAGATAGGATTGCTGGGTCTAAAGGCTATCCCATGGAAAAAAAAAAAAAGATGTCCTAACAACCAGCTTTGACCACAAACTCTTACTTCAATGATGGAAGATTTCTGGGACAGAAAAGAGGCTAAAAATATTTTTCTTTCTTTTGCCAAGATAAAATTGATACTATGAGACATTATGGAATGTTATGCCATACATATATGCCTAACATATGTCATTCAAATCTGCACACCCCCACCCTACAGATAAGTAGCAGTATTATCCCTAATTTACAGACAAGAAAGTGAGACACAGAGGCATCAAGTAACTGGTCCAAGGTCACATCTAGTACACCAGAGACTAGCATCACTCAAGTCTTACTACTAAGATGCTATGGGACTTAAAGCAAGTCACTTAATATTTCTGATTTCTATTTGATTTTCTCTTCTCTAAAATGAAGGGATCGGATTAGAGGATCAGTCCTGTTAAATAGAAATTAAAGAGCTACAAATGTAATTAAAGTTTTTTCACTAGCCCCAGTAGAAACGAAAAGAAAACAGCTGGAATTAATTTTAACAATATATTTGAAATGTGATTTTAACAAATAATATAAATATTAATGAAGCATTTAGGTCCCTATTGCATATTTTACACTTATTGCTCATTTTAATTCAGGCTACCCATATTTTAAGTGCTCAATAGCCTGGCTACCATGTTGGACATTGAACCTTTAGAAGTCTATCTCCAATAATTATGTAAACTGTTTCAGGAATATTCGTTATTAAAGATAAGGCACACCAGCAGAGGCTAGACATAATGAAAGGCGCTGTCCACACAGTGTGGTTTGAGTGTAGCACTGTGAAGGTCCCCAGCTACAGAAGCCTGAAAACCCATCTTTGATGGCATTCCTTTGTAGAAAGCAGAAATCAACCATGTTTTTCAATAATTGAAAATATAAATCACCCTGGCTGGGCAGCAGCTCAGTTGGTTAGAGTGTAGTCCCAATATGCCAAAGTTGCGGGTTTGATTCCCAGTCAGGGCACATGCAAGCAGCATATATATAAAAGATAAAAATTTGACCAATTAAGCTCTTAGTTCAAACTGAAAATCTTTTTAGAAGCATATTTATATGGGCTATAAATAGTAAATTAAAGGGTCCTTACACTTGATGTGAGTTTGAGTTCATCCTATTGGTTGGGCCACTTGCATTTTACATGACCTTGGGGAGCAGGGATCAGAAACCTGTGGAGGGTAGATTCCTAAAAAAAGATTTACCTACTTACTATTCAGCCTTGCAATCTTATAGCCTGAACTAAAATGGAAAAGAGATTTTTAAAAATCCAGATAATCACATGCTGGGTGAAGTCACACCAACAGAAAGGCTGTCATTGTGACCTGAACGTCAATTAATGACAGCTCAGTGACAAGGTGATGCCAGGGAGGAATTAACACCAGCAGTCACTCCTGGATACTCCACCTGGGCTCCTCTTAGACGAGGTGCTAACAAAACACATTAGAAGTTATTGACAGAAGCATAGTTAGGCAAGCCACTTTAAAATAATCAGGCCCTAAGTGATACAAGAAATTCAAATCTCCAGCTGCACCTTGAGAGGAAAAGAGTAAGATTGGCATGGAAGGGCTTGGGGGGAAATTACTGAATTGGCATTATTGAGCTTGTGGCCTATTCTATGTTCAAGTAAAGTCACTTGAGGAAACTGTGGAAGTGGGATTGTACTGCAGGTCAATCTGGCTCCAAAGCTAGGACTTTCTTCCTAGGTGGAGAGAATTTTATCTCAGAACCTCCAGGTGGTAAGGAATCGCCCATTGCAGAAAATACAGTGACCCTCTTATTAGGTCTTTTCTCATGAAGGCTGTAGGGGTCTCCAGCCTACGAGTTTCATATTCATGAATAGGTCTGAACTCAGTTCGAATTTACAGCACAAAACATATTAATATTACATCCCACAACTATCGGCAGTTTACTTGATGTCCTTTCATTTGTTTCCTGTGTGTGTGAAAACAAGAACAGTATTCCTCATTGCCAATCCATGCAGAGACTGGTTAAAAGAAACAGATGTATGGAAAGCTCTAGACACAATCAGAAGTTCTGAGCATCTTCATTTTAAAATAAAGGTTTACCATTCCTCTCAGAAGAATCCGTCTTTAGCAATCATTTTAGTTCTAGAAGCACCACATGAGCAATTGATTGGGCCAAGAGAAAGGTTCACCTGGGCAGTGAATCTCAAGCAGAGACAAGCATGGGCCCTGACAGGGACCTGCCTGCCAAAAGCAATGGACCTTTTACAGATTTTGCAATCCAGCGTTCAACTTTATTTTTTTTTTTTAGAGAGAGTGGAAGAGAGAGGGAAAGACAGAGAGAAACATCAATCTTAGAGAAACACATCATTGGTT